ATGTTTCTAAAATTGTCATGGCTGCCTGTAAAAATTTTTGGACAGTCTCGGGGCTCTTTCCCATGGGTGGCCATGGTGGTAGTAAAAAAAAAGGTGATTAAGCTGCGGTCAACCTACCAAAAAACTAACTTTACAGCTTGACAAGGCTGTAAACATGCTGCTCCTGTCATACTTGCCCATTGGGTTGCACTGCAAATGTGAGCCAACCCCTTGGGTTTGCTGACCCAATTTAAAACTCTGCCATTCAGCTTTAAAAAAAAAAAAAAAAAAAAAAAAAAGCAGCATCAGGAGGTGGCAGTAGCACCTCCTGACCATTTGGCTATTTAAAAAAAAAGTAAAAAAAAAAAAAAAGGGATCAGGAGGTGGCAGCAGTGCTACCTGACTGTTCAACTAGGTAAAAAACAAAACAAAACAGGGATCAGGAGGTGGTGGTAGTGCCTCTAGAGTCTAGATCAGTCGGCTATTAAAAAAACAAAAAAATAATAAAACATCAGGGGGCAGCAGTAGCACCTACTGACCATATGGCTATTTAAAAAAAGTAAAAAAAAAAAACATCAGGAGGCAGCAATAACACCTCCTGACTAGTTGGCCATTTAAAAAAAGTAAAAAAAAACAGGGATCAGAAGGTGGCAGTAGTGCATCCAGGTCATTTGGCTATTAAAAAAAGTAAAAACAAAATTGGAATCAAGAGGCAGATTATTGGACTATTAAAAAAAAAGTTAAAAAAGTTAAAAAAACAACAAAACAAAAAAAAGGCAAGAGGCAGCAGTTGCACCTCCTGACAATTTGGCTATTTAAAAAAAACAAGGATCAGGGGGGGTAGTAGTACCTCCAGATCATTTTGCTATTAAAAAAAAAAGTAAAAAAAGTAAAAAAAAAAAAAAAGTAGGGATCATGAGACGGCAGTAGTACCTCCAGATCATTTTGCTATTATTAAAAAATTTGAAAAAAGAAGGATCACGAGGCAGCAGTAGTGCCTCCCGATTATTGGGCTATTAAAAAGAAAAAGTTAAAAAAGTTAAAAAAAAGTAGGGATCATGAGACGGCAGTAGTACCTCCAGATCATTTTGCTATTAATAAAAAATAAAAAAAAAAAGGATCAGGAGGCAGCAGTAGTGCCTCAAGATTATTGGGCTATTAAAAAAAAAAGTGAAAAAAGTGAAAAAAAGAAAAACATCAGGAGGCAGCAGTAGCACCTTCTGACCATTTGACTATTTAAAAAAGTACAAAATAAAACAACATGGATTATGAGGAGTCAGTAGTTCATCCAGATCATTTGGCTTTTAAAAAAAAGTTAAAAAAAAAAAAAGGGGAGGTGTCAGTAGTGCATCCAGATCAGGGGCGGACTGACAACTCATGGGACCCCCAGGCAATAGGGGATCATGGGGCCCCTGTGCCCTTGCCCAAACTCAAAAAAGCCTATGAAAAAGGTACCAGGGGCATCTCATGGGGCCCCCTACTGACCCCGGGCCCTCGGGCAGTGCCGAGTTTCCAAATGGTCAGTCCGCCCCTGATCCAGATAATTCAGAAATTAAAAAAAGTTTAAAAAAAGGGGGGTTAGGAGGCGTCAGTAGTGCATCCAGATCATTTGGATATTAAAAAAAAGTAAAAATAAATGTCAGGAGGCAGCAGTAGCACCTCCTGACCATTTGGCTATTCAAAAAAAAAATAAAAAACAAGGATGATGGGGTGGCAGCAGGCAGTAATTCCTCCAGATTATTTGGCTATGAAAAAAATAAAAATAAAAAAAAAGGATCAGGAGGCAGCATTAGTGCCTCCAGATCATTCAGATATTAACAAAAGTTAAAAAAGGGGGGAATAGGAAGCATCAGTAGTGCATCCAGATCATTCAGATATTAAAAATAAGTAAAAAAAAAAAAAAAAAAAAAAGGATCAGGAAGCAGCAGTAGCACCTCCTGACCATTTGGCGATTTAAAAAAAAAACAAAAACCCAAGGATCAGGGGGTGGCGGCAGGCAGTAATTCCTCCACATTATTTGGCTATAAAAAAAAGTAAAAAAAAAAAAAAAAAAAAAAAGGATCAGGAGGCGACAGTAGTGCCTCCAGATCATTTGGCTATTTAAAAAAAGAAAAAAGTAAGAAAAAAAAAAAAATGGCTCACAAGGCAGCAGTAGGGCCTCCAGATCATTCAGCTATTAAAATAAAAGTTAAAAAAGGGGGGAATAGGAAGCATCAGTAGTGCATCCAGATCATTCAGATATTAAAAATAAGTAAAAAAAAAAAAAAAAAAGATCAGGAAGCAGCAGTAGCACCTCTTGACCATTTGGTGATTTATAAAAAAAAACAAGGATCAGGGGGTGGCGGCAGGCAGTCATTCCTCCACATTATTTGGCTATGAAAAAAAGTTAAAAAAAAAAAAAAAATAAAAATAAATAAAGGATCAGGAGGCGACAGTAGTGCCTCCAGATCATTTGGCTATTTAAAAAAAAAAAAAAAGTAAGAAAAAAAAAAACATGGCTCACAAGGCAGCAGTAGGGCCTCCAGATCATTCAGCTATTAAAAAAAAAAAAAAAAAACAGCATTTTTTCAAAAACTCTTTTTTTTTTCTTTCACAGTATGCTATGTAACAAATATAAAATAGGTGTTATCCTAAATTTGGCGACAAAATTGAAAATACCCTTTAAGCTCATTATAAATATTAATCATGCATAGGTTCTACAGGAGAGGATTTTAGGTGAAATGTGCAAATGAACGTCATTTAAGACTTAGAAGCATTTTTCGGTGTTGGGCGCGGTCTGCACCGGAACACTATGGCGCTGTACTTGTTTCCGGTACAAAGAATAATAAAAAAAAAAGAAATCTTCACCGATAAAAAGGGGAATGGAGGTCATGGACAGGAAGACAAAGTGCTTTTGGCCTTTCTACCTGATGGTCATTATGCTTTGCATTTCATATTGTGCTCTTGGCTTATCCCATGTGCTTGTAGAGCGATCTGTCCCGAGGAATTTGCACTTGATTGGCTGTCATCTTGTGATGAATGTGGTAGACGGCGAGGATGATGACAATGGCCAGTCCCAGGATTATGCCTAAAATAAGAGGCAAGGTTTCTTCCAGCTGTTTCCTCTGATCGGTCAGACATCTGTATTCTGGAAATAGAGCAGGAGGGATCGGAAGATAAGACATTTATTTATTATAGGCGCTTATATAGTGCTGACAGTTCATGCAATGCTTTATATATACAGTATCTCCCAGAAGTGAGTCCACCCCTCCCCCACCTATATATATATATATACAGTATCTCCCAGAAGTGAGTCCACCCCTCCCCCACCTATATATATATATACAGTATCTCCCAGAAGTGAGTCCACCCCTCCCCCACCTATATATATATATACAGTATCTCCCAGAAGTGAGTCCACCCCTCCCCCACCTATATATATATATATACAGTATCTCCCAGAAGTGAGTCCACCCCTCCCCCACCTATATATATATACAGTATCTCCCAGAAGTGAGTCCACCCCTCCCCCACCTATATATATATATATACAGCATCTCCCAGAAGTGAGTCCACCCCTCCCCCACCTATATATATATATATATATATATACAGTATCTCCCAGAAGTGAGTCCACCCCTCCCCCCATATATATATATATATATACAGTATCTCCCAGAAGTGAGTCCACCCCTCCCCCACCTATATATATATATATACAGTATCTCCCAGAAGTGAGTCCACCCCTCCCCCACCTATATATATATATACAGTATCTCCCAGAAGTGAGTCCACCCCTCCCCCACCTATATATATATATATATATATATATATATATATACAGTATCTCCCAGAAGTGAGTCCACCCCTCCCCCACCTATATATATATACAGTATCTCCCAGAAGTGAGTCCACCCCTCCCCCACCTATATATATATACAGTATCTCCCAGAAGTGAGTCCACCCCTCCCCCACCTATATATATATACAGTATCTCCCAGAAGTGAGTCCACCCCTCCCCCACCTATATATATATATACAGTATCTCCCAGAAGTGAGTCCACCCCTCCCCCACCTATATATATATATATATATATATATACAGTATCTCCCAGAAGTGAGTCCACCCCCTCCCCACCCTATATATATATATATATATATATACAGTATCTCCCAGAAGTGAGTCCACCCCTCCCCCACCTATATATTTATACAGCATCTCCCAGAAGTGAGTCCACCCCTCCCCACCTATATATATATATACAGTATCTCCCAGAAGTGAGTCCATCCCTCCCCCACCTATATATATATATATAGTATCTCCCAGAAGTGAGTCCACCCCTCCCCCACCTATATATATATATACAGTATCTCCCAGAAGTGAGTCCACCCCTCCCCCACCTATATATATATATATATATACAGTATCTCCCAGAAGTGAGTCCACCCCTCCCCCACCTATATATTTATACAGCATCTCCCAGAAGTGAGTCCACCCCTCCCCACCTATATATATATATACAGTATCTCCCAGAAGTGAGTCCATCCCTCCCCCACCTATATATATATATATATACAGTATCTCCCAGAAGTGAGTCCACCCCTCCCCCACCTATATATATATATACAGTATCTCCCAGAAGTGAGTCCACCCCTCCCCCCCCACCTATATATATATATATATATACAGTATCTCCCAGAAATGAGTCCACCCCTCCCCCACTTATATGTATATATATATACAGTATCTCCCAGAAGTGAGTCCACCCCCTCACATTTGTGTCAATATTTGACACTTTGGTACAATGTGCCGTAGTCAGTGTACAGATTGTATAACATGTAAATTGTCTGTCCCCTCAAAATAACTCAACACACAGCCATTAATGTCTAAACTGCTGGCAACAAAAGTGAGTCCACCCCTAAGTGACAAGGTCCAAACTGGGCCCCAAGTGTCAATATTTTGTGTGGCCGCCATTATTTTCCAGCACTGCCTTCACCCTCTTGGGCATGGAGGTCACCAGAGCTTCACAGGTTGCCACTGGAGTCCTCTTCCACTCCTCCATGACGACATCACGGAGCTGGTGGATGTTAGAGACCTTGCGCTCCTCCACCTTCCCTTTGAGGATGCCCTACAGATGGTCAATAGGGTTTAGGTCTGGAGACATGCTTGGCCAGTCCATCACCTTCACCCTCAGCTTCTTTAGCCAGGCAGTGGTGGTCTTGGAGGTGTGTTTGGGGTCGTTATGTTGGAATACTGCCCTGCGGCCCAGTCTCTGAAGGGAGGGGATCATGCTCTGCTTCAGTATGTCACAGTACATGTTGGCATTCATGGTTCCCTCAATGAACTGTAGCCCCCCAGTGCCGGCAGCACTCATGCAGCCCCAGACCATGACACTCCCACCACCATGCTTGACTGTAGGCAAGACACACTTGTCTTTGTACCCCTCACCTGGTTGCCGCCACACACGCTTGACACCATCTGAACCCAATCAGTTGATGTTGGTGTCATCAGACCACAGGACATGGTTCCAGTAATCCATGTCCTTAGTCTGCTTGTCTTCAGCAAACTGTTTGCGGCTTTCCTGTGCATCATCTTTAGAAGAGGCTTCCTTCTGGGACGACAGCCATGCAGACAGGGGCGGACTGACAACTCATGGGGCCCCCGGGCAATAGGGGATCATGGGGTCCCAGTGTCCTTGCCCAAACTCAAAAAAGCCTATGAAAAAGGTACCAGGGGCATCTCATGGGGCCCCCTACTGACCCCAGGCCCTCCGGCAGTGCCCGAGTTTCCAAATGGTCAGTCCGCCCCTGCATGCAGACCAATTTGATGCAGTGTGCAGCGTATGGTCTGAGCACTGACAGCTGACCCCCCCACCCCTTCACCCTCTGCAGCATTGCTGGCAGCACTCATATGTCTATTTCCCAAAGACAACCTCTGGATATAACGCTGAGCACTGAACTCAACTTCTTTGGTCGCCCATGGGGAGGCCTGTTCTGAGCAGAATCTGTCCTGTAACACCGCTGTATGGTCTTGGCCACCGTGCTGCAGCTCAGTTTCAGGGTCTTGGCAATCTTCTTATAGCCTCGGCCATCTTTATGTAGAGCAACAATTCTTTTTTTCAGATCCTCAGAGAGTTCTTTGCCATGAGGTGCCATGTTGAACTTCCAGTGACCAGTATGAGAGAGTGAGAGCGATAACACCAAATGTAACCCCCCCCCGCTCCCCATTCACACCTGAGACCTTGTAACACTAACCAGTCACATGACACCGGGGAGGGAAAATGGCTAATTGGGCCCAATTTGGACCTTGTCACTTAGGGGGGGACTCACTTTTGTTGCCAGCGGTTTAGACATTAATGGCGGTGTGTTGAGTTATTTTGAGGGGACAGAAAATTTTCATGTTATACAAGCTGTACACTGACTACGTCACATTGTAGCAAAGTGTCATTTCTTCAGTGTTGTCACATGAAAAGAGAGAATCAAATTTTGACACAAATGTGAGGGGGGGGGACTCACTTCTGGGAGATACTACTGTATATTACATACAATGTACACTGCGCAGGGGCGGACTGACCATTTGGAAACTCAAGCACTACCCGAGGGCCCGGGGTCAGTAGGGGCCCCATGAGATGCCCCTGGTACCTTTTTCATAGGCTTTTTTGAGTTTGGGCAAGGACACAGGGACCCAGGGGCGGACTGACAACTCATGGGGCCCCCGGGCAGTAAGGGATCATGGGGCCCCTGTGTCCTTGCCCAAACTCAAAAAAGCCTATGAAAAAGGTACCAGGGGCATCTCATGGGGCCCCCTACTGACCCTGGGCCCTTGGGCAGTGCCCGAGTTTCCAGATGGTCAGTCCACCCCTGCAGGGACCCCATGATCCCCTATTGCCCGGGGGCCCCATGAGTTGTCAGTCCGCCCCTGACACCGCGTGACATCTGTGTACAAGATACCGCCCTCATAAAGATACGGGGTGTGATTTACTAAGGGCCGGTTCACACTCCATGCGTTTCAGTTGCTTTTCTTCTGCATCCAAAAAGCGCAGAAAATACATTATATTGTTGTCAATGTCATAGTTCACATCAGTGATTGCAGTTCCAGTGCGATTTGCCTGCAGAAAAAAAAGAACGTGCAGCATTTTTTCTGCACAGAACTTGACTGGAACGCAGCAAACTGCATCACAATTGCACCGGAACTGCATGTCGTGTGAACTCTAAGCAAAAACATATTCAGGATGCATCCAATGTGCATTTTTGTAGTAAGAACTGGCCCTAAGTGAGTCCACCCCTAAGTGACAAGGTCCAAATTGGTCCCAATTAGCCATTTTCCCTCCCCGGTGTCATGTGACTCATTAGTGTTACAGGTCTCAGGGCCAGTTCACACTCCATGCGTTTCAGTTGCTTTTTTTCTGCATCCAAAACGCACAGAAAGTAGGTGATATGCACGTCAATGTCATAGTTCACATCAGCGCTTGCAGTTCCAGTGCGTTCCGGCTGCAGAAAAAAAAGTAGAACATACTGCATTTTTCCTGCACAGAACTGTACTGGAAAAATGCATCAGAAATGCACCAGAACGCACCAAAACACATCAAAAACGCACTGGAACGCACATGTCCCTATTTAAATTGAAGAAAGAGAGGGTGGAAAGAATTGGAATGCATAAACAACACACTGGAACATGTAAAAAACGCATCAAAAACACAACGGAACCTATTAAATAATGCGCATGCGGAAACGCATCCAGAACGTATCTGGACTGCGTTTCTACAGTGTGAAACAGCCCTAAAGGCAAATAGGCTGTTCATACTGCAAGGGCAGCTCTTCTGACTTCCGTCATCCAATCATATGCAAGCTAAAAAAAATTATTATTTTTTCCCTTGCAAGCGATTGGGTATTCTTTGCAAAGCCAAATTCAGGAAGCTAAGGTGGTGGTGGGCAGCACAGTGGCTTAGTGGTTAGCACGTCTGCCTTGCAGTAAATGGGTCATGGGTTCAATTCTCAACCATAGCACCTCCTGCATGGAGTTTGCATGTTCTCCCTGTGCCTGCATGGGCTTCCTCCAGGTGGTCCAGCTTCCTCCCCAGGGGTGGACTGACAACCCATGGGGCCCCCTGGGCAATAGGGGATCCCAGGGCCCCTGTGTCCCTGCCCAAACTAAAAAAAAGCCTATGAAAAAGGTACCAGGGGCATCTCATGGTGCCAGAGGAACAAGAAGAAAAAAATGCTGGAGCCACCTGGAGTGCGGGTAAGGTAAGTGCTACAGCCATTTTATGTACTTCGAGACTTTGAAGTGGTTGTAACCTCAGACATATAATATGAGCAAAGCATATCCCTCTATAGTGTGTAGTTGACCCAATCCAGAGCACTAGAGGATTGATTTACTAAAGCTGCATGGTGCAAAATCGGGTGCAGCTCTGCAAAGGCACCAATCAGCTCCAAGTTAGAAGCTGATTGACTACCATGCCCAGCTGCACCAGATTTTGCACTCTCCAGTTTTGGTAAATCTCCCCTTAACTGTTATGTCCTAATTTATGTCTGCTGCTTCGCACTTCTATCAGCATGAATCACTTCTGATAAGTTTTCCTGACACCAAGTGAAAAATAGTGACAGGGGAGGGATCTCCATCTGATTGACAGCCTGAACTTTGTGGAGGGGGGTGTGTCCCTTCCCTCCAATCAGCTCTCAGAGCTCTCCTCATTTAGCTCTGTAGTGTGTGATGTCAGCTCCCCGCCCCCTTTTTTTCTGGACTCACAGACTAGCTTTATACATTCAGCACTTTGAACAGCTGTAGAGAAGAGAAGACTGCAGATAAACTGGTACAACTTATGTAGGGGGATTTGTTTCATCCCTGCATATCACCTGAGGCCAGTCCCTTCACCAGGCACATGTAAGTGTTTACAATCACTTTAAAGTGTTACTAAATCCGGACCCTGCATTCACTATATCTGGTCTCCCCGGACCCTGCATTCACTATATCTGGTCTCCCCGGACCCTGCATTCACTATATCTGGTCTCCCCGGACCCTGCATTCATTATATCTGGTCTCCCCGGACCCTGCATTCACTATATCTGGTCTCCCCAGACCCTGCATTCATTATATCTGGTCTCCCCGGACCCTGCATTCATTATATCTGGTCTCCCCGGACCCTGCTTCACTATATCTGGTCTCCCTGGACCCTGCATTCATTATATCTGGTCTCCCCGGGCCCTGCATTCACTATATCCGGTCTCCCCGGACCCTGCATTCATTATATCCGGTCTCCCCGGACCCTGCATTCATTATATCTGGTCTCCCCGGTCCCTGCATTCATTATATCTGGTCTCCCCGGACCCTGCATTCACTATATCTGGTCTCTCCCTGGACCCTGCATTCACTATATCTGGTCTCCCCGGGCCATGCCACTATATCCGGTCTCCCCGCCCTGCATTCCCTATATCCAGCTCTCCCCGGACCCTGCATTCACTATATCTGCTGCATTCACCCTCCCCGGACCCTGCATTCACTATATCTGGTCTCCCCGGACCCTGCATTCACTATATCCGGTCTCCCTGGACCCTGCATTCACTATATCTGGTCTCCCTGGACCCTGCATTCACTATATCCGCTCTCCCCGGGCCCTGCATTCACTATATCTGCTCTCCCCGGACCCTGCATTCACTATATCCGCTCTCCCCGGACCCTGCATTCACTATATCCGCTCTCCCCGGACCCTGCATTCACTATATCCGGTCTCCCCGGACCCTGCATTCACTATATCCGCTCTCCCCGGGCCCCGCATTCACTATATCCGCTCTCCCACAGTACACACAACATGGAAATGCAATTACTGTAGTAAATGTTAACTAATTATTATAAGCTAAATCCCTTTTCTCATGAGCAGTATATAGCAGTCTTGTGACTTCCATCAGTATCCAGCAGAGCACTGGTTATTCTTGTATGAGGAGTTGTCATTCTCCTCTTACTGTCCTATGAGGCTGCATAACCCCTGACCCTCTCTCTGGACAGCACTGATTTGCCCTGTGCTTATTAGAAGCACCCTGCCAAAGATAAAAAACCTCTAGCGATACACACCAAACTGAGCATGTGCAAAGTGTCTCCTAGAGCTCTGTACTATCAGAAGATGGATTGGGGACAGCAGAAGAAGGGGAGGATCAGAGAAAACAGGATCAAACAGCCTTTTTACATGATGCAGAAGATTAACCCCTTAGGTTCCACAGTGACTATAACAAGCATGCTTTACCACTTATATAGACTGATTTTAATGTTTGGCAATCATTTAACCCTTGCAGTGTGTGTGTGTGGTGGGGCGGGGGGGTGGGGGGGTGCTGCAACATCAGCAAATTATGCTTTTTTCACCCTTCTATACATTTCTGTGCTACTGATCTCCTCCAGCCTTTTTGCAGCCACTTCCTGCCTACATTGTCTTGCTTCAGTGTTGGCCATAAATCTTTGTTCAGGACCGGCTCCCTGATTGTGACAAGGGCTGTCCATGCCTGTGCAATGTGTGTGTCGGCACAGTAATCTCAATGGGGGGGGGGGGGTGGCACATGTGGTGGGGTGACACTGCAGAGGCACAACTAGGAGACAATTGCCACCCAATAACTTGAAGTGCCTACAAGAGGACCTGTATGGCAGGATCACAAAAGTGTTGTCTGAAAGCTCACATTAGAATTTAGCAATTGGGTTTACTTTAAAGCTGAAATCAATAAACTGCCTGACCCCCCCCCCCCCCCCCCAAAATAGTATGTTTAGGTGACCAAAAATGTTTAAAGTGTTTGTAATCCCTTCCATATACTTAGTGAAGTGACTGCCCTCAGGTGATACACAGAGAGGAAAAAAAAAGTTATAATCCTACACCCACAGTTGATCCAGAGGAAGGCAAAAAACCCAGCAAAGCACGATCCAATTTGCTCCTGCAGTGGAAAAAATTCCTTCCTGATCCCCCGAGAGGCAATCAGATATTCCCTGGATCAACTTTACCTATAAATGTTATATCCAGTTATATTCTGTGTATCCAAGAAAGGATCCAGGAATCCAGAAGTAGTAGTTTTTATGAAGTAGTAGTTGTTGTAGTGCAATTAGTAGTAGTTGTTGTAGTGCAATTAGTAGTAGTTGTTGTAGTGCAATTAGTTGTTGTTGTAGTGTTAATTAGTAGTATGTTGTTGTAGTGCAATTAGTAGTAGTTGTTGTAGTGCAATTAGTAGTAGTTGTTGTAGTGGAATTAGTAGTAGTTGTTGTAGTGGAATTAGTAGTAGTTGTTGTGTAGAATTAGTAGTAGTTGTTGTTGTAGTGCAATTAGTAGTAGTAGTTGTTGTAGTGTAATTAGTAGTTGTAGTGTTGTTGTAGTGCAATTAGTAGTGCAATTAGTAGTTGTAGTGTTAATTAGTAGTGTTGTTTGTAGTGTAATTAGTAGTAGTAGTGTAGTAGTTTAGTAGTGAATTAGTAGTAGTTGTTGTAGTGCAATTAGTAGTAGTTGTTGTAGTGCAATTAGTAGTAGTTGTTGTAGTGCAATTAGTAGTAGTTGTTGTAGTGCAATTAGTAGTAGTTGTTGTAGTGCAATTAGTAGTAGTTGTTGTTGTAGTGCAATTAGTAGTTGTTGTTGTTGTAGTAGTTGTTGTAGTGCAATTAGTAGTAGTTGTTGTAGTAATTAGTAGTTGTTGTTTGTAGTGCAATTAGTAGTAGTTGTTGTTGCAATTAGTATTAGTAGTTGCTTTTGTTGTAGTGCAATTAGTAGTAGTTGTTGTAGTTAGTAAGTTGTTGTAGTAGTAGTAGTTGTGTAGTGCAATTAGTAGTAGTTGTTGTAGTGTAGTAGTTGTTGTAATTAGTAGTTAGTTGTTGTAGTGCAATTAGTAGTTGTTGTTGTAGTGCAATTAGTAGTAGTTGTTTGTAGTGCAATTAGTAGTAGTTGTTATAGTGCAATTAGTAGTAGTTGTTGTAGTGCAATTAGTAGTAGTTGTTGTTGTAGTGCAATTAGTAGTAGTTGCTGTTGTTGTAGTGCAATTAGTAGTAGTTGTTGTAGTGTAATTAGTAGTAGTTGTTGTAGTGCAATTAGTAGTTGTTGTTGTAGTGCAATTAGTAGTAGTTGTTGTAGTGCAATTAGTAGTTTTGTTGTTGTAGTGCAATTAGTAGTAGTTGTTGTAGTGCAATTAGTAGTTGTTGTTGTAGTGCAATTAGTAGTAGTTGTTGTAGTGGAATTAGTAGTAGTTAGTTGTTGTAGTGCAATTAGTAGTAGTTTGTTGTAGTGCAATTAGTAGTAGTTTGTTGTAGTGCAATTAGTAGTTGTTGTTGTTGTAGTGCAATTAGTAGTAGTTGTTGTAGTGTAATTAGTAGTAGTTGTTGTTGTGCAATTAGTAGTAGTTGTTGTAGTGCAATTAGTAGTAGTTGTTGTAGTGGAATTAGTAGTAGTTGTTGTAGTGGAATTAGTAGTAGTTGTTGTAGTGGAATTAGTAGTAGTAGTAGTTGTAGTGTAATTAGTAATTAGTAGTAGTTGTTGTAGTGTAATTAGTAGTAGTTGTTATAGTGCAATTAGCAGTTGTTGTTGTAGTGCAATTAGTAGTAGTTGTTGTACTGCAATAGTAGTAGTAGTTGTTGTAGTGCAATTAGTAGTAGTTGTAGTGCAATTAGTTTACCTTCGCTGAAGACAAAGTCACTCTTAATGTCAAATGGCTGCATGTGGACCTCAGACAGGTACAAGACCACCGTCTTCTTCTGGTCGCTGGAGACCAGGCTGATCTTCTCTGAAGCCTCACATTCGTAGGACATCCCAACTGGGGTGGCCATTAGAGACAGGTGGTGACTAGTAGCCGTATGCTTTCCAACTGAAACATTGACATAACATTAACATTAGCATGTTAATTTAGCATGTAAGTTCCAAAGACAATCAACATGGTGAACAGAACATAGTGCCTTACGTTAAACCTCGTCACGACGGCCGCACACAAATGCGCGACCTCCCGACGTCTGGGCCTAGATGCCCTAGATTGTGTGCAATTAAGAAAACCATATGTGCTGAGAGCGCGCTCCCAGCACACATGTCCGGTACTCACGGAAAGGTCCCGATCTCCTCTTTCGATTGGGACCTTTCCCGATCATGTGACCGCCATGATGGCAAATCACGGTGATCACATGACCCTAAAACCCCGCCCCGCCTCCCGGCTTCTGAAACACTTAGGCTACGTTCACACTAGCCTTGTGTGCAGGCGGCAGAGAGGCGTTTGGTAAGCGTTTTTACCGCTTCCCAAACGCCTCTGCCAACTCTGCACATTACAGCACATGGTGCTGTTCTAACGGGAGCGTTTGCGTCGCGTTGCGTCGCGGCAAAACGGACTCCTCTGGACGAGTCAGGAGGCTTTGAAGCCTCCTATTCTCGTCTATGGTGCCGCTCCGCAAAACGCCCGGCCGGCGTTTGCGGTGCGGTTGCGACGCGGTTGCGGGGCGTTTGCGGAGCGGTAACACTACTCAAACTGCATTATAGGCGTTTGTGGGGCGTTATTAACGCTCGGCAAACGCCTAGCAACCGCCGCTAAACCGCACATGCGGCGTTTGCCGAGCGTTTGCCGAGCGTTAATAACGCTCTGCAAACGCCAGACCAACGCTTGCCAAAGGCTATAGGGGCGTTTGGCAAGCGTTGGCAAAACAGCCAAGTGTGAACGAGCCCTTAAAGGGCCGGGAGGCGCCGGCGCCAAGGGGTTAAACAACAAAAAAAGGAGTGGTGGATATTGATATTTGGGGGAAGATGAGATATAGGCTCTATACTATGCACTTTTTTTGCACTTTCATGTATTGTAAGTATATCTACAGATTACAATGTATTCAATGTTGTTATGGATATGAGACTTGTTCCAAACAAACATGCTTAGATTGTAAGCTCCGAGGAGCAGGGCCCAATTTTGACAGGAGCTAATTCACCTACCAGCATGTCTTTGGAGTGTGGGAGGAAACTGGAGTACCCAGAAGAAACCCATGCAGGCACAGGGAGAACATGCAAACTTCAGGCAGGTGGTGCCATGAGTTGGGATTTGAACCGACAACCCAAGGACTGTCAGGTGGAAGTGCTAACCATTTAGCCACTGTATGTTTGTTCTTAGATTGTAAGCTCCAAGGAGCAGGGCCCTCCTAACCAGGGGCGGACTGACAACTCATGGGGATCCCGGGCAATAGGGGATCATGGGGCCCCTGTGTCCTTACCCCCCCCCCCCACAACGCACAAACCCTCCCCCCCCAAAAGAAAAAAAAAAACAAAAAAAGGGCAGACTCAATAGACCACTCTGCCTTTTTCTGCCATAGCATACTTGGAATAAACTTTCAGCAAAGGTAGTGAGCCAGTCAACAGTGAATATCTCCAAACATGCTTGGGACAAGCATAGATCTATATAGAACCCCCCCAAAAAAACAAAACCCCCAAAAACACCCACACAAAAAAAGGCAGACTCACTCTGTCTTTCTCTGCCGTCACTTTTCTATTTTTCTATGAAAAAAAAACCTCTCTAGCATTACACACCAAACTAAGCATGTGCAGAGTGACTCCACACGATATGTCTTATCAGAAGATAAGAGCGGGCACTGGAAGAAGAGGAGGATCAGAGAAGACAGGATCAAACAGCATTTTTCCACAGTGAGTATAACAAGCACGCTTTACTGCATTACTGCATATATTTACTCTTGAGGATTTAGTAACACTTTAATGCCTGAGCTAAGAGCAGATGGATTCCAGGAAGTAAATGCTACATGAATCATCTTCCTTTACTCTAGAACAGGGGCGGACTGACAACTCATTGGGCCCCCGGGCAATAGGGGATCATGGGGCCACTGTGTCCTTGCCCAAACTCAAAAAAGCCTATGAAAAAGGTACCAGGGGCATCTCAAGGGGCTCCCTACTGACCCCGGGCCCTCGGGAAGTACCCGAATTTCCAAATGGTCAGTCCGCCCCTGCTCCTAACCTTGTTGTATTGAACTGTATTGTTGCTGTATTGTCTCCTGTTATATTGTAAAGCGCTGAGCAAACTGTTGGCGCCATAAATCCTGTATAATAATAATTTATAAATCCTGTATAATAATAATAATCTATAAATCTATAATAATAATGTATAAATAATAATAATAATAATTATAAATCCTGTATAATAATAATAATAATATATAAATCCTGTATAATAATAATAATAATAATATATAAATCCTGTATAATAATAATATATAAATCCTGTATAATAATAATATAATAATAATAATATATAAATCCTGTATAATAATAATAATATATAAATCCTGTATAAATAATAATAATATCCTAGATTGTAAGCTCGTAAGAGTAGGGCCCTCTTACCCCTCGTACGCTGTCTGTATAATAATAATCCCCCCCTATTGTATAGCAAACCCTTTGTATAATAATAATAATAATAATAAAATATAATCCTGTATAATAATAATAATAATAATGATAATAATAATGTTTAATCTTGTAAATGATGTCATCCATAGGCAGAGTTCTTCTCTCTTTTCCCTGAGGAAGGAGTGGAACCACTTTGAAACGCGTCGGAACAATTAGAATAGTATCTCCACAGTTTCTGTACATCAATGATGATCCCGTAATTCATATCCTCTATGGCCAGTCAAACATAGTCACACTGGGTATCCTCATCATGTGAATTCATATTCTGGTTTGGATGATGTACTATGACTCTGTATGATGCATTGTATTGTATGTCTATGCATCACAACAATTTTTCACAAATCAAAATTTGCCCTTTTTTTTAATACTTATGGTACTATGGGCAGTGGCTAAATGGTTAGCACTTCCGCCTGGCAGTACTCGGGTCGCTGGTTTAAGTTCCAGCCACGGCTCCACCTGCCTGGAGTTTGTGTGTTCTCCCTGTGCCTGAGTGGGTTTCCTCCGGGTACTCTGGTTTCCTCCCACACTCCAAAGACATGCTGGTAGGTTTCATTGGTTGCTGTCTAAATTGTCCCTAGTATGTGTATGTATGAATGTAAGTTAGGGACCTTAGATTGTACACCCCTTGAGGGTTAGGGATCTTAGATTGTATGCCCCTTGAGGGTTAGGGACCTTAGATTGTATGCCCCTTGAGGTTAGGGACCTTAGATTGTACCCCCTTGAGGGTTAGGGACCTTAGATTGTACCCCCTTGAGGGTTAGGGACCCCTTAGATTGTACTCCCCTGAGGGTTAGGGACCTTAGATTGTACTCCCCTTGAGGGTTAGGGGCCTTAGATTGTACGCCCCTTGAGGGTTAGGGGCCTTAGATTGTACGCCCCTTGAGGGTTAGGGACCTTAGATTGTACCCCCTTGAGGGTTAGGGACCTTAGATTGTACACCCCTTGAGGGTTAGGGACCTTAGATTGTACGCCCTTGAGGGTTAGGGACCTTAGATTGTACGCCCCTTGAGGGTTAGGGTTAGGGACCTTAGATTGTACGCCCCTTGAGGGTTAGGGACCTTAGATTGTACGCCCCTTGAGGGTTAGGGGCCTTAGATTGTACGCCCCTTGAGGGTTAGGGTCCTTAGATTGTACACCCCTTGAGGGTTAGGGGCCTTAGATTGTACGCCCCTTGAGGGTTAGGGACCTTAGATTGTACGCCCCTTGAGGGTTAGGGACCTTAGATTGTACGCCCCTTGAGGGTTAGGGACCTTAGATTAGATTGTACGCCCCCTTGAGGGTTAGGGGCCTTAGATTGTACGCCCCTTGAGGGTTAGGGACCTTAGATTGTACGCCCCTTGAGGGTTAGGGACCTTAGATTGTACGCCCCTTGAGGGTTAGGGACTGATGTGAATGTACAATATATATGTAAAGCGCTGTGTAAATTGGCGGCGCTATATAAGTACCTGAAATAAATAAATAAATACTATTTAAGCCTTCAACGTCGTAGGGGGCCCCTCCTTCCTCATCTAATTTTTAATTCGGGGATGGTGGCTTACAATCAGGAGTTTTCCCTCTTTTCCTTGTACAATGTTACAAAAGGGTATTTGGTGTTGCCGTTTATATAATTTTCTCATTCATTTATATAAGAATTTCGATACAAAATGTCTATGGTGTAAATTCATATCACAAAGTGCTTTATTTAGCAGTGGCACGGGTCCCGGAGTGGGCCCCAGATGGGAAAGCCAGGGGCAGAACAAGAAAGACTGCATTGTGCACAGCAGTATTGGGGGAACATCTGTTGGTTACACGTCAGCAGCCAACCGCACAAAATGACTCAGCTACTGACTGCGGCTCTTCGGTTCCTCTCCCGTACTCATCCATTTATTTCTGCTGGTGATAATACTGTAATTGTGGGGTTTTACCGATGACTCTGACCTCTTTCCTTAGTAGAGGCTTCGGAGTAAGCATTTGAGGCTTCATGTACAGTTCATAGCATACAGTAACCAGGACCACTGCGGTATGGTCTTGGGGGGGTGGGGGAGGGGATTGGGGGGGGGGGGGGGGGGGCGCAGGAACCAGTCATTGTGTAGTATTACGGTTTATGCGGACCACGCGCACATGCTGCAGTCTCGCACATACTCACGTCTTGCTCCAGTTTTGAAATTTGTGCGTTCTGAGGGATCATAAAAAAACTGAACTTTGCTCATTTTCCAGCTCCTTCCAGTGGACCTTGCGAAGTCCTGACCATCCTAAGAATAAAATGGATATTTCCATAAAATGGGATAAAATGGGTATGAAAGCATTGATTAAACTGAAGCATTGATTAAACTGAAGCATTGATTAACTATTGATTGAAATTAAAGCATTGGTTGAACCATTGAAATGCAAGAATTGGTTGAAGTATTAATTGAAATGAAAGCATTGGATGCGCTATTGATTAAAATGCAAGAATTGGCAGAACTATTGATTTTAATAAAATCTTTGGTTGAACCATCAATTAAAATGCAAGAATTGGCAGAACTATTGATTTTAATAAAATCTTTGGTTGAACCATCAATTAAAATGCAAGAATTGGCTGAAGTATTGATTGAAATGAAAACATTGGTTGAACTATTAATTAAAATGGGAGCATTTGCTGAACTTTTGATTTTAATGAAAGCTTTGGTTGAACCATCGATTAAAATTAAATAATAAGCTGAAGTATTGATTGAAATGAAGACATTGGTTGAACTATTGATTGAAATGAAAGCATTGGATGCATTATTGATTAAAATGCAAGAATTGTCTGAACTATTGATTTTAATGAAAGCTTTGGTTGAACCATCGATTAAAATGCAAGAATTGACTGAAGTATTGATTGAAATGAAGACATTGGTTGAACTATTAATTAAAATGTGAACATTGGCTGAACTATTGATTGAAATGAAAGCATTGGATGCATTATTGATTAAAATGCAAGAATTGGCTGAACTATTGATTTTAATGAAAGCTTTGGTTGAACCATTAATTAAAATGAAATAATAGGCTGAAGTATTGATTGAAATGAAAACATTGGTTGAACTATTGATTGAAATGCAAGAATTGGCTAAAGTATTGATTGAAATGAAGATATTGGTTGAAGTATTAATTAAAATGCAAGCATTGGTTGAACTATTGATTTTAATGAAAGCTTTGGTTGAACCATTAATTAAAATGAAATAATAGGCTGAAGTATTGATTGAAATGAAAACATTGGTTGAACTATTGATTGAAATGCAAGAATTGGCTAAAGTATTGATTGAAATGAAGATATTGGTTGAAGTATTAATTAAAATGCAAGCATTGGTTGAACTATTGATTTAAATGAAAGCTTTGGTTGAACCATCAATTAAAATGCAAGAATTGGCTGAAGTATTGATTGAAATGAAGATATTGGTTGAACTACTAATTAAAACGCAAGCATTGGCTGAACTATTGATTGAAATGAAAGCATTGGATGCACTATTGATTAAAATGTAAGAATTGGCTGAAGTATTGATCTAAATGAAAGCTTTGGTTGAACCATCGATTAAAACGCAAGCACTGGCTGAAGTATTGATCCAAATGAAAGCATTGGCTGAACTACTGATTTTTATGAAAGCTTTGGTCGGACCTTTCATTGAAATGCAATCATTGGCTGCCCTAGAGATTTAATTGCAATGTTTACCTGATAATACCACCCTGCATTCTTGGAATGCGACATATGTGAATAGTTTATTATAGATCATTGTGTAAAACTAGGAATGACGTGTCTCTATATGTATGTAGAGCCCAGCATAGTAGCGAAAGATTGCACTTTGATGATAAAGCCTTGACATAGGCTGTTGTCATAATGAATCATGCATTGCAGTACATCTGTGTCATTAGTAGTTCACAGCATTCGATAATGGAACCTTGCGCAGCTGCAGCGTTAGTTACCTTGACAAAGAACAACTTCAGCGTGTAAGATTTGTCTAACCATGACAAATGCAGTTCAGACTCATTATTCCAGCATTTCCCTTTAATCTCAGTATCTCTGGGCAACTGGATGGTAGCTTCCTCCAGATCCCACTGTAACAGAGAAGAAACCATGCTGCTGAAAAACATAATTTACTTACAGTCACTGCATAGACTAATATCAGACTATTCATTAACTGAAGTTATTTGCAACCATCTAGCATACTGAACAAAACAAAGAATGATCCAATAACTCTTAGCAACCAATCAGCCAACAGCTTTCATCATTCTGCTTCCAATGAACTGGTGAAATAGGAATTCTAATTGGTTAGTTTGTTGCACCCTGCACATTGTCCTGCTGAGCAGGGCTGGATGCATTGAAGAGAAATCATATTTTCATGAATTTAGACTTACCAAAAAAAGCGTTTCAGTGTTTTTTTTTATTTCTCATAAATGTGTCCGGAATTTTAACCATTAAAACTGTTTTGCATACAGACATTATTTTTGTATAATACTTACATCCACTTCATTACTGGAAGGAACTTCATAGGGAACAGCTATCTTAGCTGAGAATTCAGCCATGAGACAAGTGGTCCCATTTTCTCTTATGGCAAATATGTTTTTCTCAGGATTAGCGGACAGACCTGAAAGATTCTCCACTTCTTGTTCTGCCAAATTCGGATCAATAGTGTCTGTCAAATAGAGAAAGTCGATCATTGACCGTTCACATTGCCCATAAGGTACCACCAACCACAAAAGTTGCCCTAAAACCCATAGCTGGATGCCCCTCTACCCTGGTATATGGTCATGTTGCCCTGTGTTGATCATGAACCTTACACCTGTATTCCTTCACCTAAAGAATAATAATAATAATTGTTTTACTTACATACAAGAAGAACCAGTACTTGCAGTCCTAGGACGGATGCTCTCCTTGTGAGGTCCATGCTTGTTCAGACTTCGCAATGTCCCAAGAAATATTGAAAGCCAAAAATATGTCTCAAGGCTTGTCTCCTATAGATCACTCATCTAGTCTTGGACACAGTTGTAATGATGAATCTGATTCAGCTCTGATCTGTCAGATTCACATATTGGAAGAGAGGCTCAAGGGGTAGCTATCCAAGGTGCTAAAATGGTCAATGTTGCTCTTCGGGATGTCCTAACTGTGGTCCAAGGTGCTGAAATGCCTTAGGTGGGTGAGTTGTACGGAGTGTCTATAGACCTCCAATCTCCAAGGTGCTGAAAAGGATGGGTTGTATGGAGTGCCTTTTGAACCCTGCTGTCCAAGGTGCTGCAATGCCTTATGAGGATGGGTTCTGTGGAGTGCCTATAGAACTCTTCTGTCCAAGGTGCTGCAATGCCTTTAGAAGATGGGTTGTGTGGAGTGCCTATAGAACTGCTGTCCAAGGTGCTGCAATGCCTTTAGAAGATGGGTTCTGTGGAGTGCCTATAGAACTCTTCTGTCCAAGGTGCTGCAATGCCTTTAGAAGATGGGTTGTGTGGAGTGCCTATAGAACTGCTGTCCAAGGTGCTGCAATGCCTTTAGAAGATGGGTTCTGTGGAGTGCCTATAGAACTCTGCTGTCCAAGGTGCTGCAATGCCTTTAGAAGATGGGTTGTGTGGAGTGCCTATAGAACTGCTGTCCAAGGTGCTGCAATGCCTTTAGAAGATGGGTTGTGTGTGGAAGTCCTATAGAACTCTTCTGTCCAAGGTGCTGCAATGCCTTTAGAAGATGGGTTGTATGGAGTGCCTATAGAACCCTGCAGTCCAAGGTGCTGAAATGCCTCATGTGGATGGGTTGTGTGGAGTGCCTATAGAACCCTGCTGTCCAAGGTGCTGAAATGCCTTATGTTGATGGGTTGTATGGAGTGCCTATAGAACTCTGCTGTCCAAGGTGCTGCAATGCCTTTAGAAGATGGGTTGTGTGGAGTGCCTATAGAACCCTGCTGTCCAAGGTGCTGAAATGCCTCATGTGGACGGAGTGCCTCTAAAGCTCCGCTGTCCAAGGTGCTGAAATGCCCTATGTGGCTCTATTGTATGGAGTGCTGCAACCTTCAGCTGTCCAAAGTGCTACAATGCCTTGTGTGGGTCTGTTGCACTTAGTGCATGGAGTACTCCACCGTCCAAGGCTCTGAAATGCCTTTGTGCCTCTGTTGTACAGAATGCCTATGAAGCTCTGCTGTCCAATGTGCTGAAATGCCTCATGTGGCTCAGTTGCATGAAGTGCTGTAACTCTTTCTTGTCCAAAGTGTCCAAATGTCTTTATGTGATTCTGTTGCACTTAGTGTCGGAAAACTCCTCTGTCCGAGGTCCTGAAATGCCTTCTGTGGGTCGGTTTGCATGGAGTGCCTATGAAGCTCAGCTGTCCCAATGTGCTGAAATGCCTTCTCTGTGTTGGTTGTAGTAATTGCCGGAACACTTCGCTGTCCAAGGTGCTGAATCACATTGCAGAGCTCCACTGTGCTGCACTGTAGGAAGGAGCTCTGCTATCCACTGTGCTGCACTGTAGGAAGGAGCTCTGCTATCCACTGTGCTGCACTGTAGGAAGGACCTCTGCTATCCACTGTGCTGCTATCCACTGTGCTGTACTGTAGGAAGGACCTCTGCTATCCACTGTGCTGTACTGTAGGAAGGACCTCTGCTATCCACTGTGCTGTACTGTAGGAAGGACCTCTGCTATCCACTGTGCTGTACTGTAGGAAGGACCTCTGCTATCCACTGTGCTGTACTGCAGGAAAAAAAACTCTGAAAACCACTGTACTGTAGTGTAGGAAGGACCTCTGCTCTCCACTGTGCTGTAGCATAGGAAGGAACTCTGCTACCCACTGTTCTGTAGCATAGGAAGGACCTCTGCTATCCACTGTGCTGTAGCATAGGAAGGAATTCTGATATCCACTGTGCTGTAGCATAGGAAGGAATTATTCTATCCACTGTGCTGTAGCATAGGAATGAACTCTGCTATCCACTGTGCTGTAGCATAGGAAGGAACACTGCTATCCACTGTGCTGTAGCATAGGAAAGAATTCCGCTATCCACTGTACTGTAGCATATCAAGGAACTCTGCTATCCACTGTGCTGTAGCATATCAAGGAACTCTGCTATCCACTGTGCTGTAGCATAGGAAGGAACTCTGCTATCCACTGTGCTGTAGCATAGGAAGGAATTCCGCTATCCACTGTGCTGTAGCATAGGAAGGAACACTGCTACCCACTGTGCTGTAGCATAGGAAGGAACACTGCTATCCACTGTGCTGTAGCATAGGAAATAATTCCGCTATCCACTGTACTGTAGCATATCAAGGAACTCTGCTATCCACTGTGCTGTAGCATAGGAAGGAACTCTGCTATCCACTGTGCTGTAGCATAGGAAGGAATTCCGCTATCCACTGTGCTGTAGCATAGGAAGGAACACTGCTACCCACTGTGCTGTAGCATAGGAAGGAACACTGCTATCCACTGTGCTGTAGCATAGGAAATAATTCCGCTATCCACTGTACTGTAGCATATCAAGGAACTCTGCTATCCACTGTGCTGTAGCATAGGAAGGAACTCTGCTATCCACTGTGCTGTAGCATAGGAAGGAATTCCGCTATCCACTGTGCTGTAGCATAGGAAGGAACACTGCTACCCACTGTGCTGTAGCATAGGAAGGAACACTGCTATCCACTGTGCTGTAGCATAGGAAATAATTCCGCTATCCACTGTACTGTAGCATATCAAGGAACTCTGCTATCCACTGTGCTGTAGTGTAGGAAGGAACTCTGCCATCCAGGATGATGCACCTCTTTCTGCAACTCTGCTACCCCAGGCACTGACACAGAAAGCAGCCCAGGCTCCTCTCTCCTCTGTATCCAGGGAACATAAAGGAAACAAGTGTCACCAATGACTCTCACACAATCTATAAAGTCTCAAGCTTTGCAGAGGACTGCCATTGTTCCAGCTTAGCAATCACTCATTCAAAAGGTAGTAAATGACTTTTTTTTCAAAGCTCCAGTGACTAGGCTCATAAAAAAAGCCTGTAATGTAAGATCATCTGGAATAAATGGATTAGGAGAGTGTAAACCCCCTGGGGGGGGGGGGGGTTTCTGAAATCAGATGGTTGTGGTGGGTCTTGTATGATTCATACACATACTTTTCCAGCCCAGGAATATGCAGCGCAGCGATTAGGAATTTACATTAGTAAATGATTGCAGTACCTACCTCATATTGCTGAAACACGGTCTGCGTCTCTGACAAAGGGGGAGGCGGAGGAGCGGAAAGTTGCACGATGAACGCCCCCATGAAAGGGTGGTAAATCTACACAGGCGGTGTGCTCATCCCCCCCCCCCCCTCCTATATTCTTCATAAAGGATTGTCTGTGGAGTCTATAGCCTGCAACTTCTCCTGCGGCTGAGAATCAATGTCACTCTACAGCTATCATTCCAATACCTCGCTGAAGCCACATGATTGGACAGTCAGCAAAACTATATATTTGTGAGAAGTGCAGAGTATGTGTCAAGTCATTCTTCTTAGTCACAATCAATGCATCATCTACCGTGTGAGTCACACCATGCCTGCATCAGCCACCCTGGTCCTCATACATTGTGATCTATTACATACAGCATCACCAAAGTACATGCATGTACACACAACACTACAGCATGGGCGCATGTTATTACATATGACTACAGGATGGGTGCTTTTTATTACATATGACTACAACATGGACACCTTTTATTACATATGACTGCAGCGTGGGCACCTTTTATTACATATGACTACAACATGGGTGCTTTTTATTACATATGACTACAACATGGGCGCATTTTATTACATATGACTACAACATGGGTGCTTTTTATTGCATATGACTACAACACGGACACCTTTTATTACATATGACTGCAGCGTGGGCACCTTTTATTACATATGACTACAACATGGACACCTTTTATTACATATGACTGCAGCGTGGGCACCTTTTATTACATATGACTACAACATGGGTGCTTTTTATTACATATGACTACAGCATGGACACCTTTTATTACATATGACTACAACATGGACACCTTTTATTACATATGACTGCAGCGTGGGCACCTTTTATTACATATGACTACAACATGGGTGCTTTTTATTACATATGACTACAACATGGGCGCATTTTATTACATATGACTACAATATGGGTGCTTTTTATTGCATATGACTACAACATGGACACCTTTTATTACATATGACTACAGCATGGACACCTTTTATTACATATGACTACAGCATGGACACCTTTTATTACATATGACTACAACATGGGCACCTTTTTATTACATATGACTACAGCATGGACACCTTTTATTACATATGACTACAACATGTGCACCTTTTATTACATATGACTACAATGTGGGCACCTCTTTTATTACATATGACTACAATGTGGGCACCTCTTTTTATTACATATGACTACAGCATGTGCACCTTTTTTTATTACATATGACTACAGTATGGACAGTCTTTTATTACATATGATTACAGCCTGTGTACCTTTTTATTACATATGACTACAGCATGGGCACCCTTTTTTTCAGGGTTTGCATGGAATTTGAGCCAAAAAGGTTTCCATGGTAGGTTGGTCATTTGCACTGACCTTGACTGTCCTCCTCTCACCAGTTGTTTGTACTTACTCCTCACTTTATGTTCTGTATCATGCTGGGAATATCGCAGCTTCCTCCAAACGAA